ATTGGCTAGTCAGATCCGTCGTTGGCCGTCTTTATAAATGCATACATAGCTATAGGGCCTGACTCAGACACCCGTCTGTAGAGGGATGTCTTCAATGGGGCAACAACCTGAGCTGTGCTAGCCGTCGGCCTCCTGAATACAACCAGGTCGTTTCTCACTTCATGGCCAGTCTTCAGTCACTTTTTTAAAGATTTTCACAACTATCTAAAGGTTTCGTCAGCGCCTCCAAGCTTGAATTATAATCCACTCTTTGGCCACATATCTCAGTCTCCAGTAATTTCTTCAAGCCTCCAGTGAGTATCTCCAGACTCGAGTAACAACCTCTGCAGTCTCCAGGGAGCACCTTCAGTCACCTGTCAGAGCTCCAGGAACCCGTCGACTCTTGACGAACCTGCGGACACCACTGCGGTTCAGCCGGCTCCTTCTCACCTAAATACGACTGCCGGTGTTATCCTTTATCGCACTCTACAAATGGCTGCTTCAGCTGATAATGGATGGACAGATAGGGAGACGGCGCCACTCGGTATCGGCTCAGAACTCGGGCACCGGGCGACTTGATCGGGCAACGGAGCTGTTGGTTCAAGTTGAAAGATAACTGAATTATTTAGTTTGACGTGCAGTGGTGGCGCTCACAAAAACCTCACACATTTTTCTTTCGAATTATTTGAAAATGACTGCTATCAGCACGAGGATCATGGTATGAAGTATGAACAAATAACTTGCCTATACTCTTAAGCTTTTTTAGAATTGAGGGCGTGCATTTTTGGGTTGGACCGAACCAGGCCCAACGACCGAACCCCGTAGACTATATTGACAAGAAGCCAGCACCAATCCTGAGACCGCGGCGGAGCCCCTGCGTATAAAGTCACGGTATGGGGCAAAGTACAGCAACAGCCACACCCTGTTCGAATAAGTCAGACGGCACGGCCCATCACGATGCATAAGCTACTGTCAACATCCGTCCACTGATAGCCCTGAAATGCAGCGCTGTCGAGGTCACCGGTTGAGGTCACCTTATTTGCTGAACGCCGCGTTATCAAGCCCAGCTCGGATGTGCCTAATCCTGAGATTTTCAGCAGGATTAGTGTGCTCGGCGTGGGTCCACTCTGAAGAGCGGCGGGGAATGCAGCTTCCTGCAATCGGCGGCCCAGCTATCGGCCAGCCGGGGCAGCTATCGTTCCGGGGTCCACGGCGGGATCCTCCCGTGTCAAACGCAGGTCACCTCTGTGACCTACCTGGGTCAACATGTCTACCAGATGTTCGCATCCCCACCGGCCACATGTAGGTACGTACATACAGCACGCTACTCAACAATTGCATAAAAAAGAGCCCTCGTCGTCCCCCTGAACAGAATCAAAAGAGCCCACGTCGGTTGCGCTTGCTTATCGACTCTACAAACTGATCAGATAAGACCCTAAAAATGAACATTGAGATGGAAAGAGTGAATACTATTGGGAGTAAATATGAATGTAAAAAACCTGATACCTCTCTCTCTCTGTCTCTGTCTCTGTCTCTCTCTGTCTCTCCCTCTCCCTCTCTCTCTCTCTCTCTCTCTCTCTCTCTCTCTCTCTCTCTCTCTCTCTCTCTCTCTCTCTCTCTCTCTCTCTCCCGTTTTCTGCAGATAACCTTTTGCCAGCCTTCACCCTCTGTGCGAACCAAGGATCCTATAGGCCTAGGGCCTTCAGCACAATGAACCATTTGGAAACTGGTGCGAATATTACGTTTCCAAATCCGTTATAGGAAGAGTAAACAACTATTCACCCTTCACAATCAATAACCAATACCGGCATGCACCGAATCCATAAAAGAAGACAGAGTCTGCTGATATATTTTATTGAACCATACAGCTAACCGCACATTTCAACGATCAGCATTCTATCTCGAATGAGCAATGAACATACACTTCACTGGTTGCTGCAGTCCACAAAAAATCTCCCGGGGATAAATTATCACACTATTGATGAAGGTTGCGCGCCGCCAACATAGCGAAATATCAGAGAATCTCGACAGATTCCGCACAAAGCAGGTAACTAAATGGCTTACACATTCGACCCATACGAAACTGTAAAAAGCTCTGGTTTCCTGAATTGTGACACCGACTAGCTAGCCATCTACCCATTCAAAATATATACATGCTGTAATTAAAACACAGGCTCTTCAGTGATAGCTGGAATTACTGCGTTCGGCCTAGAATAGCATGGGTGCATTATCTGTGAATGCTGGGTGCATTTCTTTTCGCTTGGCCTCACGAAACCCGCTTCTGAGGCTATCCAGCACAGAATTGGGTACTGTGTTGAAAATATATCACCGATCCTTACGGAGTATGTACAAAGTACATACTATGAAGATCCCTCGTAAAGAAAACACAAATCCCTAGACCAACTCAGTGCAACTAAAAACTTTTTGACATAACTGACTTATGACATTAAATAGTTAATCAATTGGGCTTTAAGAATGATGAAAACTAAGCAAACAGTTAAAATACTAAACAGTTAAAATACTGGCACCGACTGGCTATCGTATCATCCGGCATCTCAAATCACCAAATGATTTTGTCATCCAAGGCATAAAACCCGAGTAGATAAAACTCGAGCTACCACTGAATTACGGTGGTGATCGTTTTAAAGGGACTGTCCCACCTTTGCATTAGTTCTGAGTTGAGATAGCCAAGTTGGCGGCCAGGTTCAGAAACCACTATATATCCTGGTCGCAATATCCTCAGTTTCGTAGTGTTGAAGAAATTCGTTCCCTTCATTTGAAAAGTGGGCCTTAGCTAAGGCCCTGTCTCTTAACTAGTAACGGCTATTTGATGATGTCATTTGCATTTTGAACGCCTGTCACGCATTAAAGGGACCGTCCCACCTTCACATTAGATTTGAGATGGCCAAAATGGGGTCCCTGGCTCACAATTACCGGTTTCGGCACTCACAACATCGAGAAATGCCTTAAATCGGAAATATTGAATTTCAAAATTGCAGCATTTTGATTCAGAGGGGCTAATGCATAGGAATACCCCTCTGAATGTGTGACGTCAGCGCAGATATCTAACGATTTTTAAATGTTTGACTAAAACGTTTTGTAGCACGCGGTGGTATATGCTGCTTTGCGCTAGGAACAGCGGAGATCCCAAAAAGTAAACATAAGTAAAAGTCTAATATCTTGAAAACCGGAGAATATTTTTCGATTAAATTTGGTAGATATTCGTTTTTGCTCTTTCTGAACCGAGCGACATTACTTTCATGCCAATTCATTAACTTTTTTGAAGGTGGGAGGGTCCCTTTAAGTGAAGTTTCACTTGATTTACGAATAAGCTAATTAGAGACACTTGTATGTATGAGCCGCGTCATATTTGAGAGCAAATACCTATATTTGCTGCCAAATTTCCCCCACATTGACATGAAGTAAACCCTTCATTACGTCACAGATCCGATCTAAATGACGTCACGATGAAATATAAAAGTCGCAATATCGCAAAAAGTATACAATGAAAAAGCGTAAAAACTTGCAGAATTCGTCACAATATCATGAGTAACATTTCCGAATCCTAAATGGTACTTTTTTAAGGAGGGATAGTCCCTTTATATGCCCGGTTAAAATAGATGTAATAGATATTCTCAATCGAATATACATCAACACTCAATCGACTCCCTCTCTCCCTCCCTCCCCCCCCCCAAACCCTCTAACAGGACCCGCCAGTCTGACCCCCCCCTCCGATCCACCCCACCCCCCAGGCTTCATCACTGGTCACCCGCGTGGTCCGCGCGCTCAGTCTGTTTAGACTTCTCGAACGCCTCGTAGGCAGCCAGCTCCTTCTTTTCCTTCTTCTGGTTTCGTAGCATGAACTCCATCCTGGAAAACACGATAAGACGGTGAGGAAGAGAAATCGGAGATGGAAGGAGTAAAAAGGCGGGAGGATGAAAAAAACCTTTATTTATAAAGCATACATCCGAGCTGTCAGCTTATCCCTAGTTTCAATTTGTTATAAGGCATGTATCTGCCCTATTCCTACCCTACCACTACCTTTATGATAAAGTTGTTGTTGAGGGATGTACCACAGCTCACATTCTCAATCACTGTCATTGTCAGCCATCCCTACTGCCTCTTCAATTCCTCTCTTCTCTCTTTCTCCCCTAGTCTCTTTCCACCCACCTGTGCTCGATGATTCTTTCCACTATCTTCTGCGTGGTCATGTCATTTCCAGACACAAGCGATTTGAACTTGCCGCGTCTCTTGGGTTCCAGGTAGGGATCTGATCCGTCTATATTAACGAGGAAATCAGTCAATGTTCAGTCCAGTCAACAGCACAGGTAACAAGGAGACACTTCAGTCCACCCACCAGACAGTCAACGAGATATGCTGGTAAGTTCACTGCTACTAAACCGATGAATGTAAGGTACACCTGAACCTTGATAGAGCTCTGTTGTACACCTAGGCTAAAGAGTTTTATACACTATACAGAGGTCTATGAATGAATGTGACTTTAATTCCCCCTCACCCGGTTACTCACTCACTAACCCTCCCTGTCTCTCTCTCTCTCTCTCTCTCTCTCTCTCTCTCTCTTCTCTCTCTCTCTCTCTCTTCTCTCCTCTTCTCTCCTCTCCTCTCCTCTCCTCTCCTCTTCTCTCTCTCCTCTCCTCTTCTCTCTCTCCTCTCCTCTTCTCTCTCTCCTCTCCTCTCTCTCCTCTCCTCTCCTCTCCTCTCCTCTCCTCTCTCTCCTCTCTCTCTCTCCTCTCTCTCTCCTCTCCTCTCTCTCTCCTCTCTTGCTCTCTTGCTCTCTCGCTCTCTCATTCCCGTTTTCTGCAGATAACCTTTTGCCAGCGTTCACCCCCTGTGCGAACCAAGGATCCTATAGACCTAGGGCCTTCAGCAGAATGGACCATTTGGAAACTGGTGCGAATATTACGTTTCCAAATCCGTTATAGGAATAGTAAACAACTATTCACCCTTGACAATCAATAACCAAAAACCGGCATGCACCGAATCCATAATAGAAAACAAAGTCTGCTCACTGCTGATATATTTCATTGAACCATACAGGCTACCGCATATTTCACCGATCAGCGTTCTATCTCGAATGAGCAATGGACATACACTGCACTGGCTGCTGCAGCCCACAAATATCGCCCGGGGATAAATTATCACACTAACGATAAAGGCTGAGCGCCGCCAACATAGCGAAATATCGGAAAATCTCAACAGATTCCGCACAAAGCAGGTAACTAAATGGCTTACACATTCGACCCATACGAAACTGTAAAAAGCTCTGGTTTCCTGAATTGTGACACCGACTAGCTAGCCATCTACCCATTCAAAATATATACATGCTGTAATTAAAACACAGGCTCTTCAGTGATAGCTGGAATAACTGCTTTCGGCCTAGAATAGCATGGGTGCATTATCCATGAATGCTGGGTGCATTTCCTTTCGCTTGGTCTCACGAAACACGCTTTTGGGGCAATCAAGCACAAATGGGCATAGTGCATACTGTGTTGAAACATATATCACCTATCCTTACATATTATGTCAATGAAGATCCCTCATAAAGAAAACGCAACTCCCTAGACCCAGTGCAACCTAAAACTTTTTGACAAAAGTCATGTACCTATGTCATTAAATAGTTAATGAATTGAACCCTAATAATGATTAAAACTGAGCAAACAGTTAAAATACTGGCACCGAACAGGCTATCGTATCATCCCGCATAAAACCCGAACTACCACTGAATTACGGTGATGATCGTTTTAAATGCCCGGTCATTTAACAGATATCATAGATATTCTCAATCAAATACACGCCAACACTCAATCGCTTCCCCTCTCTCTCCCTCTCCCTCCCTCCCCAAACCCTCTCAGAGACCCCGCCGGTATGACGCCCCTCCCCCCTCTGCTCCATCCCACCCCCCAGGCTTCATCACTGGTCACCCGCGTGGTCCGCTCGCTCTGTCTGTTTAGACTTCTCGAACGCCTCGTAGGCAGCCAGCTCCTTCTTTTCCTTCTTCTGGTTTCGTAGCATGAACTCCATCCTGGAGAAACACGGTAAGACGGTGAGGAAGAGAAATCGGAGATGGAAGGAGTAAACATGCCTTATATAGCACCTATCCGACCTATCCGCATATCCCTATAGTAATAATTTGTCATAAGACACTTGTATCCGCCCTATCCCTACCCCCTTCCATATCTTTATCATACGGTTGTGGTTCCGGGATGAACCCCAACTCCTCTCGTCAATCCACGTTTCCATTGTCATCCATCCCCCCTCTCTCTCTCTCCCCTCTCATCCTCTCTCTCTCTCTCTCTCTCTCTCTCTCTCTCTCTCGCGCTCCTCTTTTTCTCCCCTCGTCTCTTTCCACCCACCTGTGCTCGATAATTCTCTCCACAATCTTCTGCGTGGTCATGTCATTTCCAGACACCAGCGATTTGAACTTGCCGCGTCTCTTAGGTTCCAGGTAGGGATCTGATCCGTCTATATTAACGAGGAAATCAGTCAATGTTCAGTCCAGTCGACAGCACAGGTAGCACGGGAGGAGAAACTTCAGTCCACCCACCAGTCAACGAGATATGCTGGTAAATTCACTGTTGCTAAACCGATGAATGTAAGGTACACCTGAACCTAAGTCCTAAATAGAGCTCTGTTGTACACCTAGACTAAAGAGTTATATACACTATAAAGAGGTCTATGAATGAATGTAACCACCTCCTTCCTTTTCACTCGCTTACTCTCTCTCCCCATCCCTCTTCCCTCCCTCCTCTCTCTCTCTCTCTCTCTCTCACTCTCTCTCTCTCTCTCTCTCTCCCTCTCACCGACATCCTCCGCCACCGGCGTGTGACCGTGACACACCACATCCACCCGGAAATGGTCCATCAGCTCGGCGGTGACCGCGTACGGGGCGCCGATCACCACCTCCCCCACGTAGCGGCACGCCAGAACAGAGAGCGTCCGCTCGTGCAGGTTCATGATCGGGTAGTTGTAGCCCTTGTAGCTGGCGGCAATCAGGGCGGTCAGATGACCGTGATTATAGGGATTTTGGTCCTTACGGATAAGTGTGTATTGTGAGCGAAAAACTTCCCCTTTACTGTTTTCCCTAGAGGGGTACTGACTCCTGAAGAATCAGACCTAACGTAACTTGCCACTAATTTTCCCTAGACCATGCTCCCTTTAAACTGGATATCAATATTTCAAAGAGATGAGCGTTGTGAGGAAGATCGTCAAGATATTCATCAGCATATTCTAATTGACTAAATTCATCCTGGATTGAATCAGAACATGAATGATAAAACTATAAATTTAGGTTAATAGAGTCGTACCGTAAACCGGGGTGAGTTGATATGGATTTTGAGGTTTTTCTAGATTTCTTTAAAGTCACATTCATTTACGGAATTCTTTTTGTGCCAGTTTCATGGCACATGCCTTGGGGAGGCAATCAGCAAAAATGAATAAAAAATGTATATATTAAGCCCCTTTTTTAAAACGCCAAAGTTTATATCAACTCACCCCCTGGGGGGTGGTGAGTTGATATGGTTTTGGATTTTTCAAAATTTCTCGGCTAAAGAAGCTCAGGGGTGAGTTGATAAAATGCCAGTGTTTAAAAAAAGGATGTGAGAACACATCCTAAAAGAAACCATCAGAAAAATGGTAGTAGTTTGGCAGCAGACCTCACATTCATGAAAACGCAATCATGTCAAACACAGCGCTATCAAAATGGCTTGATTTTAGCAGCATCATTTTTTTCGCTTTATGATACTTAGTTTTACTTAGAACATTCTGAACTTGGCTAGTCATGTGTCCTCAAGCCAACGGTATCAAAACTGGCAATATATTTTGGAATTACAAGTGTATTTTCTTGTAATTAAAACACATTGTCAGTTGCGGGTCAAGGTTGATATGCCTCTGACAGAGATAATGGATTGAAATGAAAGAATACATATACTTCTGAGCTTTTGTTGACTGGTAGTCAACAAAATATTTATGAAGTGAAGTGAAGCGAATCTAATTCGGACCGTATTCTATAAGGTGAAATAAGCGACATAAAACAGAATTCGGCATCAAAAGCCAAAATTAACCCTCGCACTTATAGGCGGGCGAACGGACCACCTCGGCTTTTCGCACATAACTCGCGCAAAAAGCGGCCGATCACGACGAAACTTTCAGTACCTCTCGAGTTTATCAATTTTATACATGTTCTAAAGATTTCATGACCCTGACTCAAATGGTTTTTGACTTGTGACCTGATTCTCGAGACCATGCTTGGCCGGAATCGCGATTTGGCGTAGTCGGCTCACATTATCCGCGCATTTCCAGTCTTTTTGTGATTGTAACGTCCAAACATGTAAATGATGTTGGTCCCACGCAGTATTGTGGGTGTCAACTGTCAAGGTCACCTGAAGGTCAGGTCAGGTCATTGACCTTTGGTGACCTCGGTTCACTTTTGGAGTTTTACATGTTTCTAGGGTAGTTTTTTTCGCGCCGATTTCGAATTTAACATGCATTTGATCATTTATGAAGTAGTTTTAGTGCCTTCGTAACATGTTACGACACCGTCAGTGGTAGCTGACACTTGACACTCCCTATGGATAGCCGGCAGGACACCTACTGGTTGACCTGACCTGACCTGGCCTAAATGTACGAAGACATCTGTGATCAAAACTAACATGACATTCGTGATCAGCAACAGCCAAAAAATAATAAACTCGCTTTACGAACTTCAAATAACCCCCTATTTTCCCGACTTCTGGGTAATTGACCTGGCCTGGAAGGTTAACCAATGACCTAGGACCTTAAAGTTGGTTATCATCGGCTTCTTCGCGTCTCGGGCAACACGGTCATTTTTTCCGCGAAGCTCTAGCTCCACCAGGGGCCAAACGACGATGGGATTCCAACGGACCCCCCTCCCCCCCCCTATACGTTAAACGCTGGCAAAACACGAATACGGGCGAGGGCTAAACACCAGTCAATTTCTTTATATTGTTTGTTCCATTTAATTTTGTCACTCATTCTCGGTTGGCAACTGCCAAGCAGGAAAACTAATCAGTTTCACGAGATCAGAATGCCCGCGCTGTTAGCCATACAGAAATGACAGTTCTGTCATTTTCGAAACCACGAATAATTATAACAGTTTTTTAATCTGTATGCAATATAGGTGTTCTATAGTGTTCCTTTGTAGCTTGTAGGGAGCCATCTTGAGACTTGACAGGGAGTTGTGCTGTGCCTTTTGCATGTTAGGTATGTCCACAGAAAAAAAAAACTTTGGGGTTACTGATGTTAGTTGTCGGACCTTCGTCCCCGTCTTGAGTTGAGATGTTAGTTTCACAGCGTTTCGGCCAGTTACTCTCCGGCCGTCGTCACTCGTCAGGTGTTCTTTGACCCTCAGAAGGACCTGGATGTTGGTGGCGTTGCGCCGTACGCGTCAAACAGTTCGAAAGCTCATGTAGTCAGCGGGAATCGAACTCGGGTTTCCCCGGTGATGGTCCACGGTTGTAACCACTCCACTATCGAGGCAGATTTGACTACGGCCGGAGAAGTTACTGGCTGAAACGTTGTGAAACTAACATCTCAACTCAAGACGGGGACGAAAGTCCGACAACTAACATCAGTGATACTAACAGGCCTCGTCTCAAGCATTCAGAAAAAAAAAAAACTAAAGCTTTTGGGGGTTGATGGAATGATGTGGGGAAAGAAAAGGAGAAGAGTTGGTGTAATTGACTTTGTCTTACCTGCAGACCCATATTTCATGCTAATATGCATGCCTACCAGCCTGGTATCAGCTTTTATCATGTATATCAACTCACCACCTGATGGCATATCAACTCACCACCTGTCACTTTCTTAAAATTATAAAAAAGCGTTGTTATAGGTGAAACCCAAAACTACCTGGGATCAACAGTAAATTGATGGTAGTTTCTTTCCCAGTGCATGTTGTTTCATGAATATCCACCGTCTTTGCTGTAGGGTGGGGGCTTTTCCTTAGTTTCAAAATCAGAAGAAAAAAGGACTTTGATAAAAGTAATGTGTTAAGAAGGCACTGCACCACATGCATGCCTTTCTCAGCTATATGCATCACTTATTGGTTGCTTCACTTCACAGAAAAATAAAACTGAAAATTGGTTTACAAATGGATGAGCAGCACACATTTTAACATTTTTCGAGCAATTTATATCAACTCACCACCCCATATCAACTCACCCCGGTTTACGGTACTCAAATATAGTTACCTAACCAGAGTTTTGTAATTTTGGTAATTTACATTCTGATTCAATTAAGGATTCAGTGGATGAAAATATGGATGTCAAATACACGGGCACCCAGCTACCCCATCCTGCAGCGATACAGCAGCAGTCCACGGAGCGTGGCGACAGCAGTTCTCACCGGTTCACAATGGGGTCCGTGTGGAGTCCAACGATCAGAAAGTCGCCCTCGGCAGCCGCCTTCTCCAGAAAGTCCAGGTGACCGACGTGGAACAGGTCAAACGCGCCGGCCACGTACACCACACGGTCACCGGGCTGAGGTCACAGGTCAGATATGGGTCAGATGCGGGTCAGATTAGGGTCATATAGAGGTGGGATACAGGTACGAAAAAGCTCACATGCTATTAAGAGTAGGTACAATATACAAACAGACAAACAGATTTCCTCTCCAACTCTCACCGCATTTTAGCCTCCTCTCTTTCCGGCCTTTCTTTCTCCCGCCTCCCCCCTCTCTCCCTCTCTCATCTCTCTCTCTCTCCTCTT